CCTAGCAGTGACGGTGATATTGTACGCGGAGACGTTTTCTCTGTCCAAGGCAGTGGCTATTATTAGTTTATAGGCCTTCTCTGAAGACGGTTCTAGTCTGAAGGGCAAATCGCCATCGATGTTGCAGTTCACTTCCCCGTTATCTCCCGAGTCTCTGTCACGGACATTGATCACAGCTACCACTGTACTCGGGACCGAGTCTTCGGGTATTGGATTCAAGATGGGCAGGAGCGAAAGGGCTGGCGCGTTGTCGTTCACGTCTAGGATCTCTATGTGCACTTTGGCGTGCGCACTCAGCCCGCCCCCGTCCTTGCCTTCAACACTCGCTTCGTAATATTTCCCTTCTTCATAATCTAAGGGGCCTGTAACCGTCACGTCCCCTGTCCTGGAGTCCAGCGTGAATAGCTGCCGAGCACTGTTTGCCATGTCACTGAACGAGTAAGTAATTTCTGCGTTTGTACCTTCGTCGCCGTCAGTAGCCTTCACCTGGAAAGCTAAGGAGCCCTCGGGGAGGTTTTCCAGCAGTCGAACCTTGTAGATCTCTTTGACGAATACCGGCGGGTTGTCATTTGCGTCCGTCACGTTAATCTTAATCTGGGCTGTCCCGGATCTCACTGGGTCCCCGCCATCCACAGCCGTCAGTATCAAATGGTGATGTCTCTGGTTTTCTCGATCTAAGCCTTTCTCCAGCACTAACTCCGGCTGTTTTGTCCCATCAGGACTCTCCCTCACTACAAGGGAGAAGAACGGGTTGGGGGTAAGCTGGTAGTTTTGTAATGAGTTCGCCCCAATGTCGGGGTCTCTGCCACTTCCCAGTGGGAACCTGGCCCCAGGAGGCGTGGACTCGATCATTTCTATGGCAACAAGTTCTCTGTCAAACTTTGGCGCATTGTCATTGATATCCTGAATAGTAACGCTTACATGAAATATATTGAAAGGGTTTTCCACGACTGCCTCCAAACTGAGGACACAGGGCGACACGGCCCCGCAGATGCCCTCTCGGTCTATCCTCTCCTTCACCCGCAGATTTGTATTATCTTCCCCGAGCGTGAAGTATTGCTTTTCGTCTCCAGAGACTACCCGCAGCTTGCGTGCCGGCAGGGCCCCCCGGCCCCGCCCCCGGGCCCCCGCCCTTTTCCCTGCGTTGCCGGTCGGCCCCCCATTCTCTGCTTTGCTGAAGGGTATTTTGCAAGCGATTTTAAATTAGGCTTTCGGAGCAGCTGAATCAGTACCTGAGAGAAACAAATATATGAAATCCCTGTTGCCGGGCGGAGGGTGGGCTGAGTCTGGGAATTCCTGCTCTTCTCTCCGCTCTGCTCCGTGCGGAGCGGCACTGCGCGGGCGCCGGGGCCGGGGAGGAGCCGACGGTTGGAGCCGCTTCTCCGCCTTGGCCAACAGTGACACCCTGAGTCCGTGCCTGAGAACCGCAGCGTCCGAGGGGAAGGGAGGGGCCCGAAGGTCCTGCTAAGCACGTCCTTAAACCGCAGTCACCGCGGGTTGGAAAATACAGATGCTGTCAGTAGCACGAAACAGAAAACTTGTGTCTGTGCTGAAACGGCGCACCTAGGACTTCTCATTGTCTGAATTTCTTACATCTGCAAGTATTCGGCAAGACAAATCCTCCCCCATTGCTCGGAGGATGTGGGGCAGCATCTATCTCTGTCCCACGGTGATCTTACTGGTCCCCGCTGCCATCTCCTCATCACCGTGAGAGAAACGGCAGGACGGGACGAACGCTGAAGGACTGCTCATAGATCGTGGTTTTATTTGCGATAGTTTGGAGATCCCGAGCTAGCACTCGGCTTTCCCACTTTGAACGGTGATCGCTGATGGACAAGCAAAGCCGGGAATCCCAGCCAGTGCGAAAAGCGCAGCGGTCGCACCAGACCTAGGGGAGCTCTTTCGACATTCAAGCCCCGGCATCATCGTATCATCGTGCCATACAGACCAACCCCGAATTTCTTCCGTCCATGTCTGACAAACCGCGTCCTCATCCCCTAAGCCGGCCGTTAATGCAGCAGGTCTCAAACCCCAAGAATATTTTCCGGCAAATGTTGATGGCGGTTACTGTTGTTTGAAGAAGCCAAGAGAAACCAGACAGATTCCACCCTCATGAAAAGCCATTGTATCTCACCTGTACAGTAAAACTTCGTCTCTCTTGCAGTGAAGAAAAAAAAACCCCAAACAAACCAAACCCAAACCAAACCTGGAGGAGGGCTGTATCACCACAGCCCCTTATGCAGAAGGCAGAAACCTGTTAGAAAACCCTCCACACTGCCGGCCCGGTGGAGCAGCTCTTGCATATACTCCAACGCTGGGTCTCTGCAGCTGCCAATGTGAAGATCTCCCTTCTCAGTAAGGCATCCTTAG